TTCTAATCAACAGCGTCCATAATAATATGATCGTTATTATCATTATTACTATGACTTAAGAATTTAGCAAACTGTTCCTTTTTCCTTACCACTTCTACCAGCGTATAATAGTGTAATGAGTGGAAATAGTTGTGCTGCTACTTCAGATATCTGAATGGTCCACAATCATTTTTTTAAAAATAAGCAAAACCTGGGAAACACTGAACCAAAGCATTCACTTTAGTTTCACTTGAGGTCACAAATGTATGCATGTTGAAAATGCCAGGCCTGCCAAAAAAAGCACGCTGAACTCGAACCAAAGAAAAGGACACTGTTATTCTTATGAGGAGATATTTGACGGGGCAGGAAATTGGCAGGGTCATAGAAGTTTACTTAATACTGAAGCTCATTTAACTGTCCTGAAGCCAAAACACAATGACAGCAGACACTAAGTACCTGTCTGAGTAGTTACAAGAGTCCCAGCCAATACAGAAATTGAGAAATATTCATAAGGATTCTCATAACTCTGCCATGTTTCTGTAAGTAGATTAGTTTAACGTGCAGGGGTTGAACATATTCAGTATCATGACAACACAGAAGTTAAAGGAGAAAAGAAGTTGAAAGCTGGGGGTGGGGTGGTAACATTTCTCTTCATTGCAATTTTCCATTTGTGTTGAAACCCAGCAGGGGAAAGAACCCACAGGCTTCTCTCCTATGCCAGAAGTGATTGTACAAAAGGCTCAACCTTCCAAATCTTATTTCAATTATGGGCATTGTTCCCCTCCTTGACATTATGCTTTTGCCAGCTTTCACTCAACTATTGTTGCATGTTGCTTTCCATCAATGTAGTCCCATTGGGAGTTATCAATGATTAATTACATACAAAAAGATCTTTGGGGGTGGGGCGGGGGATTCCTTTGCAGAAGTGTGTACAATGTTAAAAGAAAAGGCTTAAAGTGCCATCTAGTGGTTCATTTGCTATACTAGAAGAGACACCCAGCCTGCTACTACTTTTGCTGCCTGTTTAGGAATGCAAAAACAGTATGTCCAGGAACCAGCAGCTCACTATACATGACTAGAGGGCTACATTCAGCTGGGAGGGTCACAATCATTCATCTGGACAACATCAGCATGGACATTTTTAGTTTTATTATAATTTGTTAATTGCCTGATTCAGGGTGGCCTCTGGGCCACTTACAATCAAGCTTAAAAAATACAAAAATGTTTTGCATAACACAATAATTATTTCAATTATTGTGTTTAAAACTATACAAGTATAATCAAGCTTAGGTGCAAAGGGACAGCTTTGTAAACCAGTACTGCAGAAGAACTTGCAAGGTCTTTTAACAGCCATGCTATGACAAAGGGTAGCAGCCAGTATTAAACTAGGGCTGGGGAGGCCAAGGTTCAAATCTTCACTGTCTTACCCCATAAAAAGTTGTGTCAGATACACTATAGGAAGGGAGAACCATGTATGTTACTGTGGACTCTTTTGAGGAGAGGCAGGATAAAAATGTATTAAAATAAAAACGCTAGTTCATAAACCTGTCCCTCTGCAGTAAACCCCCCCCCCCCCCATTGTTAATCATTTGCACTTTGGCTTGAGCTAAAGATCTGTAGATGGTAATAATATTGGAAATTAGACCTAGCTATATACAATTTTGTTTCCTTTGATTCTCAGACTGCCCATGCCGGTTAAAAAGCAATGTTATCTGTTGGTTTATATTTTGTATATTTACAGTTAAGTCATGTTTTAAGTGATTTGTTTTCTCAACTCTTTACACTGTGGTGGCTCAGGATGACAAAATTAAATGCTGACATAAGTAAAATATTGCTAGGCTGCTAGTTCAAGCAGGATGCACTTGGAAGCCACTGGGAAACAAGAGCAGTTAGAAAGCTTAATAATTCTTCAGTGTTTATATTGGAAAAGTTCAGCTTGAGGTGAACTTGAAAGCATTACTTTCCCATTGAGGTGGATGGATTTTTCCCAGATCCTTCCTGGCATGGGTTCTGCAGTTTCTCTTCAGCAAAATACTAACTTTCTAAAATAGGTTTTGAAACATGAATCATAAAGCAAAATGTTTTGTCTATCAGGTAGGAATAATTTAAGATGCTTTCCTTTAGCAGTAGCTGAACAAAGGTACATGATGCTCAACAGCTAGTCCTAATTCAGAGAATCAGAGTTGTTGGGTTTGAAGGGACCCAAGGGTCATCTAGTCCAACCCCCTGCAATGCGGGAACTGTAACTAAATCATCCATGACAGATGGCCATCCAACCTCTGCTTAAAAACTTCCAAGGAGAGTCCACAACCTCCAAAGGGAGACTTCTTGAACAGCTCTGTCAGAAAGTTATTCTTGAGTTTTAGTCAGAATCTTCTTTCTCGTAACTTGAAGTCACGGGTTTGAGTCCTACCCTCCAGAGCAGAACAAGCTTGTTCCCCCTTCCATGTGTCAGCCCTTGACATATCTGAACATGGGTATATCTCCTCTTTTCCAGGCTAAACATACCCAGCTCCTTAAACTATTCCTCATAAGGCTTGGTTTCCAGACCCTTAATCATCTTGGTTGCCCTTCTCTGCACACATTCCAGCTTGTCAACATCCTTCTTAAATTGTGGTGCCCAGAACTGGACACAGTATTCCAGGTGTGGTCTGATCAAGGCAGAACAGAGTGGTATTTTTCCTCCCCATGATTTGGACAATATACTTCTAGTTTATGCAACCTAAATAACATTAGCTTTTTTTGCTGCTGCAACATGTGACCCCCTAGATCCTTTTCACATGTACTGTTAGTAAGCCAAGTATTCTCAATCTGGTTCTTCCTGCCTGTGTGCAGAACATTACATTTTGTTAGCTTGGGGGCAGTTCTCCAATCTGTTAGTTATTTTGAATTCTGATTCTGTCTTCTGTGGCATTAGTTACCCCTCCCAGTTTAGCATAATCTGCAAATTTGATAATCCCCTCAATTCCTTAATCCAAGTCATTTATGAATATGTTGAACAACAGGCCCAGGACAAAACCCTACAGCATCCTATTAGTCACTTTTACCCAGGATTAGGAACCATTAATGAGTACTCTTTGGGTTTGGTCAGTTAACCAACTACAAATCCACCTAAATTACCTCATTTAACCCACATTTTACGAGCTTCCTTTCCAGAGTATCATGGGGGACTTTGTCAAAAGCCTTACTGAAATCAAGATACATTGTGTCCACAGCATTCCCCTGATCCACTAAACTTGTAACTCCATAAAAAAAAGGAATGAGATTTGCCTGACTTATTTTTTAGAAACCCATACTAGGTCATGATTGTAGCATCCTCTTCTGGTTATGTTAATTATCTGTTCTAGCACATTGCCTGGTATTGATGTCAAACTCACAAGTCGGTACCTGGGTCTTCCTTTTCCCCCCTTTTTGAAGATGGGGACAACATTTGCCTGCCTCCAGTCTGCAGGGACCTCACCTGTTCTCCAAAATTCTCAAAGATCATAGAAAAAGGCTCTGAGATTACATTCACAAGCTCCTTTACAGGTCCTGGAGATTGGAATTCACTTAAACTAGATGTTCCCTTACTACCTCTTTTCCTGTCTTGGGCTGCAGCTCCCGCCTTACTTCATTTATTTGGTTATCACCAGGTTGGGCATCACTTTCCTTTCAGGTGACGACAGAGGCAAAATAGGTGTTGAGTAGTTCCACCTTCTCTGTCTCCCAACAGCATTTCTCCATCTTCTCCATGCAAAGACCTAACATTTGCTTGTTCTTCCTTTTGCTTCTGACATAGTCGAAGAAACCTTTAATTTTTAACTTCTCTTGCAAGCCTGAACTCATTCTGAGCTTTAGACAGCCTAACCTTCACCCTGCAACTGCTGGCTACTCGTATATACTGCTCCTTTGTGATTTCCCCTTTCTTCCATTTCTTGTACATGCCCTTCTTACATCTCAGCTCATCTGTAAACTCCTTATGCAGCCACACTGGTTCTCTTAGACGCCTCCCACTTTTCTTTGTTGGAATTGTCTGCATTTGGGCCTTCAACTGATATGGAGAAAGGCAGTTTTCTTTAACTGGAAATGTGGGTTGGAAAGTCTGTTGGCACAGAAAGGGGCCATGAGTGGGATACCCCAGAGGAGACAGGGGTTGGGAACTGTTGCTAAAGTCATCTGGATATCCTGTTTTCTTTAACAGGCATTTGGTTTAAGTGGAAATTCTAATTGCTCTCCTCACTGCTGTGTTTTGTTCATTTCATTTCATTATGAAGATGTTAATCTGCTTGTTGGAATTGTTTTATGGATTCTGTGATTGTTGAATATTGCCTCTTTTCTTAATGTTCATTTCTGCTGAGAAGGAAGTAACAAAGTATTGGTGAAGGCAGATTATAAACACTTAATAGTCATTTCTCAAAAAGCGAGTCAGATGGCCAGTTAAGGACTCAGACATAAATAGTAGGAATTCCTAAATATTTTCCTCTCAGTATTTCATTTTGAGTCAAGAACTGGGTGGGAAGCATAAAATCTGATGAGCAATTTCTGTGTTGCATATTAGTTTGAGAGATATGGATCAGGTCTGTTGCACCTAGGAATAGGACCATTTATGTTGTGGTAACCCATTACATAATAGCCTCCCTAGACGTATTGGCATCACTGTTGGCTTTTAGAATAGAGTCGTTCATATTCTAGGCATTTGCCAGGTGATCATTTTATTATTTTCTTTGCTTCTTGCTGATTTCATTTCAGTCTTTATTTTAAGTGTGATTTTATAAACTGATTTTTGTGTTATGGCTTCACTGATATTTTGTAAGTAATTCTGTGAAGAGCTTCAAGTGCCTTTTGTAGTCCTTAATAGTTTTCACTTGAAAAATTCCTCTGCGCTCTACTAGCATGATATTGACACCTACTGAACATAAGTAGGCAGAGAATAGTATGTTGTAACACATATTCAAGTTATTTTCCTTGAATAATGGTTGTAACTTCAGCAACTCTGTATGAACAGAAAGCAAGTCTACCAAAAAAAAAAGTTTTATTTATACAAAAATGCTCTATACAAAAACAAGGGAAATGAAATCATTTACTACAAGTAACAGCTATCCTTATTTCTGGCCAGTTGATCCAAAACCTCCTGAGCCACGTTCTGTTTCATCCAAAACCTAAAAGATAGATATGTGATTAATTTCTCAAAGTCATTGTCTCTTGTTCTATAATTTTGAAAATCATGTGACCACCACAATATATTTCATGTTTAGGTACAAAATTAAAAAAAATGCAGTGGATAGTGAATGACAAACTCTTGTGCTAAAGTATAATTCAGTAGCAAGCAGGATTTAATTCCTCTCCTTCCTTTTAAAAAGAATAAATCAGCTGTGGATACAAAGTATTTGAAGTTCCTTACCTGGACTTCTTCAAGCTCAGGATAGTAGATGCGCTCACAGATCAGCTGGGCAATCCTGTCCCCCTTTTTAACTTCAAAGCCAAAGTAAAAAGGGTTTAAGAATTCATAGTATCAACACTTTAAGAACACTACAGTATAAATTATCCTGCAATTCTATGGCTCCTTACTAAGCATATATATTAACTCAGTACATGTGAGCTATGTAATCAAAAGTTTTGAATTAGCCGCCACTACGGTTGTAAACCAATGTTCTAACAGCTATACAGCCAGTTAGCATGTCTGCGTGAACCAACTATTAATTTTAGAAGAAAACGTGATTTAAAATCAGTCTGATTTAAAACCAATCTACCCTCATTCAGTCCTCCCAATCACTGACTAGACCTAAATTTGCTTAGCAATGCTGCCTGCATCCTGTTCCATCAGACTATGTCTTGAATCCATTACAGTGGTACCTTGGGTTAAGTACTTAATTCATTCCGGAGGTCCATTCTTAACCTGAAGCACCACTTTAGCTCATGGGCCTCCTGCTGCCGCCGGAGCATGATTTCTGTTCTCATCCTGAAGCAAAGTTCTTAACCTGAGGTACTATTTCTGGGTTAGCGGAGTCTGTAACCTGAAGCGTATCTAACCCGAGGTACCACTCGGGTACCTCGGTACAGTCTTCATTCATCTTCAAAGTTTGGTGATCCAACTTCAATTTAATACATCACTATGTATTATTCTGATTAAGTATTTAACTAGATGTATTATTGAAGTGGAGTTTTGTTTCACCACAAACTCTAATATTTTTAATAACATCTGGAGCAGTCATTTGCTGCTGTAGCTAGTGATGTTAAATTCTTGAGAATAATCTTTTGGAGAATATTCTAAATGAATGAGAATATTAGAGAATTTTCATTAGTTAATATACATGTTTAGTCATGGATAAACTTGTTCAGATGGCAATCAAAAACTGTATCTATACTTTTATTCAATGGGGCAATACAGTGAATTCACATAATTCAAAAAATAAAAATAAAGAGACCTCAACTGTTTAAATCAAGACCACCTCACATGCAGTTACGCATAATTGTATAGGCCTAGGTACTGTATAAAGCATTAAAGCTACTTTCTGGAAAAACAAAACAAAACAAAACACTGTATGGCCAAGGGTACAGAATTGCTAAGAATAAGGTCACACCAAAATAGAAAAAGGGCTATTACATATACTTGAAATACATACGAATTAAATTGTTCATCAAATTAAATGAATAGCATTTTTAAAACTAAAATAAAAATGTTTTCTGTAGTTCACATCTCAGAACTTCCAATGGTGAATGACACAATGCCCAGTAATGTAACTGGATCAAAAAAATTACTAATCATTACTTACACTGGCAATATCACAGCTTGACTTATTATTTACTATGTCTTTTAAATGTGGGTTGTAAAACTGGTTTTTATATTAGAATTTACAGTTTGTGGAGAATATTCTCTGGAGAATTTTCTAGCAGAAAATATTCTCTAGAATATTCTAGCAGAGGATATTCTCACCTCACATCACTAGCTGAAGCAAGAGGACTACTGAACCTGAAAACACAAAGCAATACTGTAGAGAAGTTCTGCTATTTACTTTCCCTTGGAGATGCTTCTTAAACTCCAGGAAGAATGGTCACCCTCTAAAATACAGACCAGGCTAACTACACAACCCTAGCATATTGAAACTCCTTTTGTAAATGAATCACCAAGGCTAAAATAAGGCCGCAACCAGCTCAAAGTTTTAAACTACATTAGATCTTCCATATTGAGGACTGGAATGTTTACATGTTTCTAAAAAGGACACAATAAAAGAGAAAGCTTTTTAAAAAAACTACAAAGTTCAGGTGGATATCTACACTTCAAAGTTTAATTCTTACCTTTAAAAGGTTCCTTTCCAAAGTTAAATAGTACAACACCAACATTTCCTCTGTAATCCTCATCAATAACCCCAGCTGTAATATATAACATCGGGTAATGTAAGAAAGTAGAAGTTTTTCATTATACATTTATTAAGGAATTCCACCTTTTACTTGACTGCTAGGAACACCTGAATATTGAAATAAGAAACTGATTTGGATGCAACCTGTATCACACTGAAGTGGGCTAGTTCAGATGTAACATTTATGGCTCAAGACAAGAAAGGGCACTGGGTCTGCATGCTTACCTTCATCCTTGTTGGCTAGCTTTGATGCTTTAGGCCTAGTCTCTTTAAATCAGGGTCTCCAGATGTTGCTGGACTCCAACTTCCACCAAAGATCAAGAGTTGCAGTCTTCCAACATCTGGAGGGCGCAGGTTTCCCACCTGCTTTAAACCACTGTTTTATGTTACACCCAAAACAGGCAATTATTGCTTAATGGCAAATTACAAACCACAATAGAATGTGAGGGAAGAGTTCAGGACAGATAACTTGTTTCCAGTTTAATAAAGTATTCTTTCTTTAACCAGGTTTAATACAACAGCACTGGTTCAATATCAAAACTCCAGCCTTAAACTTGCAGTTAGTTTCAAATTCTATTCTGCAGCAACAGTGGTCATAAAGGCCATTTATAGTGTAGAATTGTTACAATTTTACTTTAAAGAGGGGCGTGAAGGGAGCCACTGCTGGTAGTTCTTATATAAACAGCCTTGTCTTCTCAGTACCGTACAGTGGTACCTCCAGTTGCAGACGGGATCCGTTCTGGAGGTTCAGTCAGATCCTGAGGTTTCCGCAACCTGAGGACCGCTTCTGCACATGCAGCAAAACCCAGTAAAATACTTCCGGGTTTCCCATGCGTGCATCCCGAAGTTTAAATAACCAGAGGGTTACGTAAACGGAGGTACGACTGTATTAATACAAATTAGCAAAAGCTACAGAAAGGGAAGTTCAGAACAAGTAGACAACTCTTTCCTATTTCCCTCTACTTGTGTCAAAGCAGCTAAAGTAGATAATACTGGGCTGCTCAAGGAATTTAACAGCAAACCAAATAAAACCATGTAACAGAATACAGATACAGTGGAACCTTGGGTTGCGAACGTGATCCATGCAGGAGGCATGTTCACAACCCGCCGCGTCTGCGCACACGACGTGATTTGGCGCTTCTAAGCATGCGCCAAAACCTGGAAGTAACCTGTTCCGGTACTTCCGAGTTCGGCGCAGTCCGTAACCCGAAAACGTGCAACCCGCAGCAGTTCATTGTGGGTGTCAAGAATATTAAGCAATAAAATGAAAATCTGTACTCTCCCTGCCAGATTAACAATATACATTTTGTTGAAATCCTTCATTCCAAAAGCACACACATGCAGATTATGGAAACTTCCATAATGGCTTTTTCAGAATTACAATAACCTTCAACTATTCATACGCATAAGGAATTTCCCAAGATTTTAATACAGGAGCAAAACGAAAAGCAGGAGATAGTCAAACTCATTTGTAATGTTTAAACTAGCATTCAAAATTTATTCTTAATTTGTATGCATTTAAAATAAGTTAGAAGAGTTCTCTGGAATTACGGTATGTTAATTTATTCAACTGCAAAGACTACATATAACAAGAACCAGCTATTCCAAATATTCAGTGTGTGGCTGAAGTAACACTAATGAACTATTCAAGTAAGTACTAAGTAGGATATTTTCTAGAAACTAAATTGATGTCTTAAATAAACACCTTTACTTATCCAGATCTATATTTCTCCTCTCTAGACACAGCATCTGGTACTTCCTAAGAAACTCTTTATCAGAGTTTGCATATTATTACTGGCTGTTTTAAAAGTTTTGCTGAGGAAAACAGAATTTCGAAGGATTTCCCACCAGTGAAGTTATTGCAATGACAAAGATATGCAAATGGAATGGTCAAAATGGGGCCAAGTTAGATGTGGGTATGTAGCATAAAGTGTATTTCCCACCTCAACTCCACATGGTCCCCTCGTAATTCAGCACTAAATTCTCTCCATTTCGTTATACCCAAGACACAAATGTTGCATATAACATGTGCTTCCTTTAAGTTGAAAATGTTATGAAGTAAAACATGCCTCAGGGTCTTTGGGCACCTCATAGCCTCATGAGAGTATATGCTTCAGGGACTACCTAAAAATCACCACAGTAATGAGATTTTGCAGTATTTTGCAACTAAAGCTATGAATCTAGGGTTATGGTACACATAGAAGCATAAATGTCAAACCCATGTTAATTTCATGCTCTACTGAAACAGCTAAAGTAGTTTGTTGAAGGCTTGTGTTGAGTGGCAGTTGCAGCAGCGGTGGAAATAATATTAGAACAAGCCAGTTAAAGGTTTTATGAAGCGAACTTCTATTCCTGCAAAGTAGCATGAAGCTAAACCTCATTTGACTGAGGATGCAAACACCTAGGATAGAGATCTGATTTATTCCATCTACAAATTAGCCATATTAGATGTCTCAACTGCTTGTGAACCCAGCTGTCAATTTCAATAATATATGTTTCTACTATCATATACTGGTATGTGATAAAGCCATCAAGTGCTAAAAAGTGTAAGAAACAAGTGACTTACCGCCAACATCTATGAAATGGTTTGCGGCTAAACCAGAGCGAGGAGCTAAACAAAAAGAAAGGAAAATAGTTTTTAAAAACAAAAAATCAAAACTAATTTTTTGTAAAATGTACCTCCATGGCAAGTTGTTCAATACTAATAGTTTCACATTTCACAAATATTTCTAAAATGTTTCAATTAACAGCATTATATAGTTTCTTTCAGCAATAAAATAAAACACAAAGAGAGCCAGTGTGGTATAGTGGTTAAGAGCGGTAGTCTCGTAATCTGGGGAACCGGGTTCGCGTCTCCGCTCCTCCACATGCAGCTGCTGGGTGACCTTGGGCTAGTCACACTTCTTTGAAGTCTCTCAGCCCCACTCACCTCACAGAGTGTTTGTTGTGGGGGAGGACCCACTTTGAGACTCCTTAAAGGGAGTGAAAGGTGGGATATCAAATCCAAACTCCTCCTCTTCTTCTAAAATGGCTTTAATAAGGGAGCTGTCTTGCATTTAGGATAATTGTTTGCATGGCTGCACTCACACTAGTGAGCATTATTAAGTGACACATATGGACATGGCTAACTTGGTTAAGGTAGCCAGGATTAAGAAGGAACGCTCTATCCACGCTTCTTGTTCAGCGTTATGGTATCTGGTGTGGTTATTCCCAACTTCAGTAGAAACCTACATTGCTTGACAAAACCACTACAGTACATTCTTCAGTATGTTGCAATCCTTTTCAGTTAAGTTGGGGGAAAAACATTTTAGCCCATCAGTGTAGGTTTATTACTCATTTTATATAAGCAAAAAGGTACTGCAATCATACAAGGACGTTAAGCATATACAAAAATTCTTGAAGGACTGGAATACAAATGATGTGTTGAAGCAAGTTGCAACTCAAATGAGTTCACTTCTGTGCTGGTACTAAGCTCAGGACAACTACAAAAGGAAACACACACTAAGTTTGCTTTCATTTATTGAAGCTAAATGCCCACTGAAATGTTTTACAGAATCACATCCCAAAACCTTGATCTGTTAATAACATGGAACCAATAAGGGAGGCAACCCTGGATTTAATCTTAAGTAGAGGCCTGGTCCCTGGTAAGAGGTAAGCATTGTTGGACCAGCTAGAAATAGTGATCATGGTGCTATCACAATTCACCACTTATGTAACTGGACAAGAAGTCTTTAACTGATTTCCAAAGAGAAAATTGTATTTGCAGACCCAACAAATTTAAGGACTGGACTTTATGGGTGGTATTTGTATAATTATCAGATTTCCAAATGCAAAGCAACAAAAAAACCAGGCTTCAGATACATAAAAATTAAGGTGTTCCAAATTTAGTTTTACATAAATCAATTTATTAATATGGCTGCTAAATAAAGCTTTAAGAGAGGCTACTAAAAAGTTACCCTAGGCTGCAAACCCACAAGTACCTTATTTTTCCGTGTATAAGACTAGGGTTTTTCCTAAAAAACAATGTCAAAAATTAGGGGGAGTCTTATACACGGATACCTCTTCCCCCATTTTCTTAAATCTGAGTCCCTCAAAATAGGGGGAGTCTTACACATGGGTCACCTTATAGACAGAAAAATATGGTACTTATTCAACACAAGGGACTATAGAACTAATGTACTCCTGCAGGTTTTGCAGATCATTTCCAGGAAATACTTAGAGAATATACATTCTTATTCCATAGTTCTCAGGAGAATAGTCTTAAGAAGCAATTTGCAAGATTAGAAGCTTTCTGTTTTGCAACTTACCTACTCGACCATAACATCCAGAAGGAAGGGCAATCTGAATGTCTGTTTTCACTACAGCCTTCCCTGAAGCAGGGATTTCAATGTCATATGCACTAGAAAAGCAAGCAAATTTATGTTATTACCAGAAGAAATACCAATTGCCTTGTTAAGCATGACCATCAGACCAGCATTCAATTTCTAGGCATAACCAGCCAGGTGTTCTGGGAGCTCACAATGCCTGAAGGGAATGGCCTTCCTCTGCCATTTGGCCCCAGAATGTCATGAATCACATGTGTCAAAATTCCCTTTTATACATCAAGGTATTTTCCATCTGGTCACTCTAGCTCTGAAAAACAAGGAATTGTACGGGCTGTAAACATTTCTGATTGGGTTGCATGGTGGAAGGTGGAGATAAGGATAGGTCCTGGGTGCAAATAAAAATTAAAATAAATTGAAGACTAAAATTGTCCTAGATAATTGCAGTATAAAGATAGTAACACCAGGTGAGCAATCTAAAAGGGTGCTCAACGCTACTGTTTTGCACTAAAGCCTGCCTCCTGGCACATGAAAATGAAGTCACTTTGCGCTATATGACCCCGTGTCTCTCAGGCAGGTTTTGAGGAGTGCCTAAATTACGGGGGTGGTGCGGAGACCTCCCAGCTATTAGCCACTTTAAGCACCACTGTGAGGAAATGCAAAACAATACAGTTAAATAATAAGTATCTTTTTGTGACAGACCCATAGCTAATGACTGCAGGAGAAAGAAGCAATTTAGCCAAAATTCTAGGAATTCAGGGATGGGATTTGTTTCATTTGGAAAACCCCTACTTGTGAAATTGTTAGTAGGATTGGAATATCTCTTGTAGTTTAAGGGTGAATTCTGGACACAATGGAGATGTAAAAGATGTGGATCATCATAAAAGATGCAGGAGGAAATGATTAATAATAGGACGCACAAAGGGAACGGTGGAAGCCCAGGAGATTCCTTGGAATCTTGTTTTTTATGATTTATGTCTGATATATCTTTGTAAAAATTTAATTTGAAAAACCAAATAAATTTTTAATAAATAATTTTATTATTTCCACGCTGCCCATCTGACTAAGTTGACCTAGCCACTCTGGGCAGCTTCCAGCATATACCAAAACAAACATTTAAAAGCTTCCCTATACAGGGCTGCCTTAGCCTGATCCACCACTAATTCACCCAGTCCTCTTCAAGACACAAATAGCAGGTGTGGGGCTGAATGCACCGACTCCTGACCTTGATAAATGGGTTGTGGCAACTCTCTCTCTCCACCTTGATCTTAAAAGTGAAAAAGGCTCTTTCCAGGATTGTTAAAACACTGAGAAGCAAGCAAGATTCAAACACTATTTTTTTTAAAAAAAATACTGTTAAATCACTCTGAGAAGCAGGCAGGATTTTAGCACTATATATTTTATATTGCTGAATCGCTCTGAGGAGCAAGCAGGATTAAAGCACTATTTTTAAAAAATATTGTTAAACCATTCTGAGAAGCAAGCAGGATTCGAACTCTCTATTTATACATTGTTAAAGGACTCTGAGAAGCAAGCAGAATTCCAGCACTATATATTTCTTTATATTGTTAAACCGCTGAGAAGCAAGCAAGATTCGAGCACTATATTTTTTATATTAAACTCCGAGAAGCAAGCAGGATTCGAACTCTCTCTCTCTCTACATATATATATTTATCCATTGTTTAGCGGCGGCGGTGGGCCAAAGCCCTCTCCCTCACCTGTACAAGTCATAGCCCGCAGCCCGGGAGGAGCCCTTGGAAGGAGCGGACGCGTTTTCCGACAGCTTGGAGAAGCGGAGTTTCTCGCCGGGCGCCTCGCAGCCGGAGACCTTTGGCCTCTTGCTGGGGGAAGAGGCGAGGTCCGCTTCAGAACAAGGCATGTTGGGCGCGCGAAAGAGAGAGAGAGACACAAAAAGGCGGGAGAAACGGAGATAAGGAGAGGCAGTTACTCCTGAGGAGAATGAATAAGAAAAGCCCGCGCTTTTTTCCTCCCCGCCTAACCGCCTCCCTCGCGCGCGGGAGAATTTCAACCCAAGCACCAATGGGCGCGCGAGGGGGGCGGGGCGAATGACGGGAAAGGATGTGCCGTCAGTCACTCTTGTTTTAGAGGCAAGAGATATGGAGGAGGGGGGAATGTAGAGGAGTCCAAGCTACCCTCCGCATGATCACTTTCCGAGTTCGTACTGGAATCTACCCACTTCCATTCATCCTTTTTCTCCTGCAAAAAGCGGGAGCTGCTCAAACGAGCAAAGCAAATGGAGAAACCCTCAGTTCTAGCGGAATTGTGACGAAATAGCGGCCTGCCCTCCACCAGCAATAAAAAAAATCTGCTAGCACGTTTGCAAAAGCTAAGCAGAATCCGGTATGGTTTCGAATTGGATGGCAGCATGTTGAGATTCCTGCACTGCAAAGGGGTTGGATTAGACAGCTCTTAGGAATCCCTTCCAACTCTACAGTTCTGTGATCTCCCCCCTTCCGCAAAAAAGCAGCTCCATATTGGGGAGGGGGTGAGATTTGATTATTAGAATCAGGTCAAATAAATATATTCGTTTAAAACTATTGTTTTAAAAAAAGCCCACCGCCATAAGAAAGAAGACCCAAGTTAGGGTCTATGCACATTTTACATGGGAGGAAGTCTCCACTGAACACAATGGTGCTTACTTCCAAGTAGGCATCCATTGGCCAGTGTGGTGCAGTGGTTAGAGTGCTGGATTAAGACCAGGGAGACGGGGGCAGCGGTTTTTAATCTCTATTCAGCCACTCACTGACCTAACCTAACCTACCTCGCAGGCTTGTTGTGAGGATAAAATGGGGAGCAGGCAGCGGAAGCACCTTGCATGACTTGGAGCGAAGCTTGGATATAAATAATAATAATAATAATAATAATAATAATAATAATAAATTTTATTTATATCCCGCCCTCCCCAGCCGAAGCTGGGCTCAGGGCGGCTAACAACAATAAAATAGTGCAACATTCTAAAAACATTTCATTATAAAAATTAATTAAAATCCAATGGATGGCAACCATCAAGCTTAAGTTCTGTAAAGATTGCCAAAGGAGGGAGTCAGGCTGCACCCTGACCAAAGGCCTGGTGGAACAGCTCTGTCTTGCAGGCCCTGCGGAAAGATGTCAAGTCCCGCAGGTCCCTAGTCTCTTGTGACAGAGCGTTCCACCAGATTGGAGCTGCAGCTGAAAAAGCCCTGGCTCTAGTTGAGGCCAGCCTAACCTCTCTGTGGCCTGGGACCTTCAGGATGTTTTTATTTGAAGACCATAAGTTCCTCTGTGGGACATACCAGGAGAGGCGGTCCTGTAGGTACGAGGGTCCTAAGCCGTATAGGGCTTTAAAGGTTAAAACCAGCATCTTAAACCTGATCCTGTACTCCACCGGGAGCCAGTGCAGCTGGTATAGCACCGGGTGAATGTGATCTCGCAGCAAAGACCCTGTAAGGAGTCTCGCAGCGGCATTCTGCACCCGCTGGAGTTTCTGGGTCAGTCTCAAGGGCAGCCCCACATAGAGCGAGTTACAATAATCCAGTCTGGAGGTGACCGTCAGTGGATCACAGTGGCTAGGTCAGGGCGAGAGAGGTAAGGAGCCAGCTGCTTAGCTTGGCGGAGATGAAAAAATGCCGCCTTTGTTATAGCTGTAATCTGCACCTCCATGGAGAGGGAGGTATCGAAGATTACACCCAAACTCTTAACGGACGGTGCTGGCACTAATTGCACCCCCGCAAGAGATGGGAGTTGCCCCCTCAATCCCATATCGTCCCGTCCCGGCCAGAGGACCTCTGTCTTCGAAGGATTTAACTTCAACCGGCTCCCACGTAACCATCCAGCCACAGCTTCCAAACATCTGATCAGTGTGTCTGGGGCCGAGTCAGGATGGCCATCCATCAACAGATAGAGTTGGGTGTCATCGGCATACTGATGGCAACCCAGCCCAAAACTCCGGACAAGCTGGGCGAGGGGACGCATAAAGATGTTAAAAAGCATCGGGGAGAGTATCGCACCCTGAGGTACTCCACACACCAAGGAGTGGCGCGATGACAATTCCCCCCCAAGCACCACCCTCTGTCCCCGACCAGAGAGAAACGAGTGCAGCCATTGAAGGACTGTGCCCGGATCCCCACGTCGGTTGAAAGAATGCACTAAATAAAAAAAAAAGTATGCCCTCCCTGGGGATCAGATACCGTTCGCGCTCACATCCCACTTGCAGGCTTGCCATCTGATTGGCTGCTGTGATCCCAGGATGCTGGACTAGAATATCATGGGCCTTTGGCCTCATCCAGCAGGGTTCTTCTCTGTGTGTTTTTACATGGGTAAAAGATGCGTTGCTTGCAAGGCGCAGCCTTTTCTGGCTGGGTCGCCGCTTCTCAACCTAGCCTGCCTCACAGGGTTGTTGTGGAGGGTTCAACGAGGAAGGGGGAAGAGAACTATTTAACGCCACCTTGGGCTCATTTGGAGAAAAAAGTGGGAAACAAAATTGCAATGCAATGCAGTATGAAATGGAGTCACATGCTGCTGCCCAGTTATTACAGCTACGCTATAAAAAAACCAACTCACACAACCCCTCATTGTTTGCAACGGGGAGCTTTTTCTTCCTACATTCCTATTTTTGCAACCAGGAGAAATATAGCAAGACTAATAGATTTCTAGCGCAAACTCGTTTCTGAGTTTATTTAGGGAGCAATGACTTGGGTTTTTGCGGGGTGGAGAACAGGGGTCGAAATGAAATGAAATGTACACCTTCCACACTTCTCCCTACTTTTCCCAGGCTTATCTCTTCTCTCCCCCCCCCTTCCATGCCTAGTTAGTACGGTCCCCAAGGCTGAGGGAGCTCCTTGGTGGGAGAAACCAATTTCCCCAAAAGGAGAGGGGGAAAGGGGCGTTTCGCCCCTGCGGGTTCGGCTGGTCGACCCCTTCCTCCCGAGAGGGAATAATGGCGGCGGCGCCCTTTCGCTTTGGCCGGCACCTCTTGACTCTTTCCCTTCTCCCGCCCCGCTCCTTACTTGCTCCTGAAGAGCAGCCGGAGGAAGCGCCCGGCCATGGCTGTCGCCTGCAGGCCCGCGTTCGGGCTTCACCGCTGACCCAGCCGTGGCGTCACCTGCCTCAGCCAAGCACATGCAACCCCTCAACCCACCGCCAGAGGGCTATGGGTTCTTTGGACTACATTTCCCATCAGCCCTTCCTATAAGCTCTGCCCCATCCCATACCCTTGAGTTTGCTCTTTTAGTGAAAGGTTATGAATCATGGTGTAAAGCAGGCTTCCTCAACCTCGGCCCTCCAGATGTTTTGAGACTACAATTCCCATCATCCCTGATCACTGGTCCTGCTAGCTAGGGATCATGGGAGTTGTATGCCAAAAACACCTGGAGGGCCGAGGTTGAGGAAGCCTGGGGTGCGTGTGTGAACCTGAAGGCGCTAAGGTTGTTTTTTAGTTGCTATTTTGTTAATGTTGTTCATATGCTGCTTTATAGATATTAAATTCCGTATGGATTTGTTAATCATGACTTGCTGTAATAGTGATGGAAGAATTGTGTGAAGAGGTGTGGGACATAGCTGTTATTGATAAATTAACATTTATTCATCATGATTTTCGACTGGCTGGTGGGAAAAGGTTAGATATGCAGGAGAAATGATTTTGAGGAGATACGGAAGGTATTTGTAGAATTTGTACGGTTGAAACGGAAAGGGACCAAACCATTGCAAGAGGTGTTGAAATTTTGGAGGTTGGATAGTTACCGTGGAATGGTCTTGGTGGTGGGGTGCACATTTTTATTTTTATTTATTATTATTACTTTGTCAAAAGGAAAAGTAGTGATTAGCTTATTTTTTTAGTTGCTGTTTTGTTAATAAATTACAATACAAAAAACACTGTTATTTGTTATTTTATATAATGTATACTGTATTTGTGATGTTTTGTTATGTTTTGTTATGTTATGCTATTGTTATTTATTGCTTGTAAGCCACTTTGAGATTCATTTGAATGAAAAGTGGCATAGAAATACAATAAATCAATTACAATAAAATAAAAACCTGTTTCGACAGCATGATGAGCTTCTAACATTGTGATCGGACTCTGCGCTCCTGCCAACCCAAATTCTTAGAAATGTCAATGAAACAAAATCACGGAATTTCATTATGTAATCCAACATTTATTAGTCACCTGTCACCATTTATTGATTGCATTGCATTGCAACCCCACCTTTCTTCCAAGGAGCTATACATAGTTTTCTTCCTGTTTCCTCCTCACAGCAACCCTGTGAGGTAGGTTAGGCAGGGAGGCAGTGACTGGCCCAAGGTCACCCAGTGAGTTTCATGGATGAGTGGGGATTTGAACCCTGGTCTCCCAGGTTCTAGTCTGCTACTAACCCAGTGGTTCCCAAAGTAGGTGCCAACCCTTAATGGCGGTGCAATTATCTAGGGGAGCACAAAGTGGCAGGGGGGTGCTGGAGATGTAAATGAGTGTCTTTTAATTACCTTTTCCCCCTAAGTGCAAAAGATCAAAACAGGAAAAGTACTCTGACCTCTTTTGGTAGCAAACCCCAGTGTATTCAATGGGGCCTGTTTGAAAGTGTTCTTATGATTGTGATATCTGAGCAACGTAAATAGAACCATGCCTTTGAAGAGCATATAAGCCATCTTAGATTATTAGCAATTTAAGATGACTGTATTATCAGCACATACTGTTGTGAATCGTCACCTTGCTTGCACCTTTAAACTTCATTTGAGCTGTCACAGACTGTTTTGCATTTCTCCCCCTCTCCACACACAGGTGTATGTATTGTTGGCACCTGTCTGTCTCGAGAGACAATGAAGTGCGCCTCCGGTGCGAAGTTAAACTTTTGGAGAATCACAGCACCTGCTGTGGCTGCAGAGACCGGCAACTCGTAACTGTTACCTCCTGTGTTGTTATTGCTGCAATAGCAGCACCAAAGTGACCTCTCTGAGGTGCAAGCCTGGGCAGTGTATATGGAGGTACTGCCCAGAAGACAAAATCATCCCCCTCGGCCTCACTGATGTGGTCCAAAGGAAAGCACAGTGCCAGATTCACCTATAAGCTAAAGAAGCTATAGCTTAGGGCCCCACTCTCTTGGGGGCCCCCAAAAAATTTAAAGGAAAATACACCTGGATGTACATTTCCAAAATATAAGATAAAAAACAAATAAAATCTACATACAGCAACAGTGTTTTGTGTTGTGTAGGCTCCTATGATGTAAATAATGGGCCCCGTCTGCTAGCCTGCTCCCTAAAATATCACTGGTTTGCTCATTTTTGTATATAGGGTGCCTACATGCTGCAAGGGGGACACGGAGGTCGGCAGTTCGAATTCCCGCGATGGGGTGGGCTCCCATTGCTCTGTCCCTGCTCCTGCCAACCTAGCAGTTCGAAAGCACGTCAAAGTGCAAGTAGATAAATAGGTACCGCTCCAGTGGGAATGTAAACAGCGTTTCCGTGTGCTGCTCTGGTTCGCCAGAAGCAGCTTAGTCATGCTGGCCACATGACCCGGAAACTATGCCGGCTCCCTCGGCCAATAAAGCAAGATGAGCACCGCAACCCCAGAGTTGGTCACCACTGGACCTAATGGTCACGGGTCCCTTTGCCTTTACATGCTGCATGGACTGGTTGCATATATTCAACACAAAAAACAGCGACAATTTGTTGTTGACAAAGGACAGCTGGACATATAAAGGGCCCCATTACCTTCAGTAGCTTAGGGCCTCATCAAACCTAAATCCGGCCCTGGGAAAGCAGAGCAATACACTTGGCACCAGCTTGGCTGGTGGCTTTAGATGAGATCTATTGCCACCCACCCAAAATTTTTTCTCACACTCTACTGGCAGGAAGCTTTCTACCAGTGTGTAGATAGATTTCAGGCAGCTTAAATGCTGCCCCACCTGTGTACTTCTTGGAGATTCCTTAATAGCCCTCAGCCAACTTTAGGGTGGCTTTAGGTTTGCTTTCTTACAGTGCCACCCTAACTCCTGCCAGGCAGAGGTGGGGCTTGATGGAATGGCACAGGCAATGCCAGACCTCCAGTGCTTGTGCTGACCAGGGCAAAAAGTGATAGCCGGGGGCAAGAAATGTTCCTAGGCTGGCACAGTGAATTGGCCTGGATCTAGCCTGTTGCTGTCGCGGGACAACAGCGGAATCTGCTGGCCACTCTAAGCAGGGATTGGAGGCTACCATTGAGGCCAAGTGCACTGGGGTACATTTGCCAGGGGAGCTTCCTTGTTGCCAATGGAGCTTCCCTGTTGGCACAGCTGGGCTGGGCTGGCCTGCACAGAGAGAAACCTCCACTCCATCCAAACCCTCTCCAACATGGCAGATTAGGGGTTTGGATTACTTACCCAGCTATCATCCATAATACACCTACAAAGGAGTAAATTCTATTGAACACGGAACAATTTCCCAGCAAACATGCACAGGATTGTACTGTTTGTCTTTAAGATGCTACAGGCCTGCAACAGGCTACCCCTCACCCGGAGTTTGATGTTAATGGTAAAACAGAAACAATACATCAAAACATGCATTGTAAAATCATTGAAGTCATATTTTAATTCACTTTAGTTGATTTCACGTTGAAATATTCAACATATTGTTGCAAGTCCAAGGAAAAAGTATTTTTTTACTAATCAGATCATACTAGAACACATTTAAAATATTTAATATCAAACTCATTTCAAGGCCCTGTGGAAATTTATCACAAATGCATTTCATTATATTCCTTGAAATTATAAATCTAGAATAATAAATGATGCTGTTCAGATGAAATCTTAGAAAATTTTAAAGTGGCATTTCATTAAATTTGACTTGAAACCTACAGAGTTGATTTAGTATGATTGACATTCATCTCTTGAAATTCATTTTAATCTAATGTAATTCTTCCCCAAATAATTTGGGGAGGAGGCGTAGCTGGATATAGCATCTGCTTTGCACCCAGAAGGTCTCATCTTAGATCTCCAGGAAAGGCTGAGAGGGACTACTATCTGAAATTGATTACAGCATCTATATGTTGATTAGAGTGTGGTGCAGATAATGCCAAGGTTGCAGGTTCAATCCCTGAATGGGACAGCTGCATATTCCTGCATTGGAAAGGGTTGGACCAGATGATTATCAGGGTCCCTTTCAACTCTACAATTCTATCATTCTATGAAATCCAGGACAGCTGCTGCGTCAGTATAGACAGTAATAAGCTTGATGGACCAATGATTTGACTCAATATAAGACAGCTTCTAATGTTCCTATTATATTGGTTGGAAAGGACTAGGACCACACCCAAATCTCCTACCACTGATGGAAAACAAACGACAGTGAAGGTACCTTGTTGTGGTGTGGCAACTGTACTACATGAAAAACAGGTGAGGTTAGAAGCTCTATGGGTTTCTTTTTTCACCTTAGTTTTCTCCCTGCAAATTGGTTGTTATTCCACAATCTTTGGGGTTACTGCAAGTCTGCTGAGATCTCTTCTGCATTGGTATTGCAGTTTTGGCTATGTAAGCATAAGCACAGGAAGACTCAGATTGGTTTTTAGTGTATATCTATAACTATATATATGATTAGGATTTTGCTGTCAAATGGTGACATCCAAGTGATTTTTTCAGTCATTGAAGTGTATGTTGTGAAGTGTCAGATCCTGGGACCCTGTTGCTCTTCAGCGTTTGTAAAAATACGTTTGTGTCACTGATATGTACAAAATGCATATATTTGATTCCAGGTTTTGCTTGCTAAGAGTAAAACGTTAGCACGTTTTTGTGGTTGCCTCGGATGAGCAAAACTGGAGGCAGGTTTCTTGAGAGAATTTCTAACCAAGCCATATAGAGGTAATCAGATATAATTCCTTTTCTTGCTACTGGTAGAGTCCTGTTGAATGGAATAGGATGAAAGTATTAGTAATATTCTTCAGTAATGCAACAATATTCCTCTCCAAATAACATTTCAGCCACTATCTGAGCCTTTTCCATCCCTGAATGTCATTTGAAATGACCAGTCATTACTAAAGGGGTGCCATTTTTCACACTTTTCTTGCTCAGATTAAAAAAAGTACACTTAAAAAGAACAATCAAATAATAGCACAAAATTCTTAGCTAAAAAGTCAACAAAAGCCTGTACAGTACATTGCTTTCCTTCCCATTAACAGCTTCAAATACAGGGCCTTATAGACACCAGTGAACCTCACTGAACCACTGTACTTTGTCCTTGAGTTCTTGCTTAGAAATCTCCTGGCAAAGTTTGGCTTGCTTTCTGAACAAATCAAAATTAAATCTGTGTCACTTACAGAACAATCAGATTAGCAGCTCTAGAATGTTCCTGAAGGAGTTCATTCAAACGGACCTGGCGGTAGCTCTGTTTAAAAAGAAACAAAATTTACTGCAATAAAAAAAGCTGGAGGTCTTGACAGATGACTTAAAGCAGAGTTTAGTGATCATAAAAAATCCACACAGGTAAGTCATACTTGGTCTAAATTATATGGGCTGTAAATTGGGAAGCATTAAGTTTATGATTGCTTGAGGAAAACCTAAAAAAAACAAACCCCTGAAACATTTCATATTCCGTTGTCATTGCCATATTAATATGCACCAAAAATTATTTTTAGTCTGCTGCATAATGAAATACTGATGGCTATAAAGTATAGCTTTACTTAAGAGACATGAAACAGTGAGATTAATTTTTAAATCTCTTAAAACTCGTTTGTTGCATGTTTTTGGGTTGATGATCCTACTGAAGATCAACAATTTCCCAGTTTCCACGGGCACCTTTTGCAGAGA